GGGGGGGGGGGGGGGGGGGGGGGGGGGGAGTTGAGCGCACGCTTCAGTGCGCGCTTTAACAGTTACATAGGTAGGGAGCAACCGCTGCTGGGAACCGGGCCAAGCATCCCATTGAACCACCAGTGCATGGCCCCTGCCAAGTTGATAATCCGATTGAGCCTCTCCTAAAATTTTGGAGGCTCGCGCACCGTTGATAAAATACATTGGTGGTGGGTGGCCTCCGAAAGGGGCCCAGGCCCGATGGGTGGCATGAACTGGTCCTTGAAGGATTTGATCAATCGAACCCAGAGTGTGCTTCACGCCAAGCATCAATCATGTAGCATTCTAATTGCAGAGTGATTGACTGCCAGAAACTGGACACAATTCATGAGCAAGAGAGCCTCTTCCTTTTTTTCCAAGAGACCCACTTCCTCCTATTTAGAGGCCAACAATGTTTTAATTTGTCCATAAAGTCTGGCAACCAATACCATTTTTCTTTGCTACCCCACAGTGGTGGGCCAATCTTTGCACCACCCAACCCCTTCCAGCTCAGCCCCCCTAGCTTTCAGATGGTGGACCTGGTTTCCAGCAGATGTGTCCCCACCAGTAAACAAGCAAACAGAACAACCCCCACCACTACCGGACAAACCCCCCACCACTACCTGACGAGGCACAAGGCCGCCTATCAAGTGGGCCAGCATCCAGTCCCCATGGACCAAGAATCCAACCAGTCTAAATTGAAATCCAGCTAACTACCAACTGGCCTAGCTCAGTTGGTAACTTGGTACAAAGCACTGAAATGTTGGAATACAGACCTGAGTCCGAACTCGATCGGAAGCAGATGAGTAAAATATTACAATCATTCTGAATTACCTTGGACCGGTCAGTTCAAATTTTGTGATATCTCAATGCCGTAGCCGTTTTAAAAGAAGGCAAAAAGGGATGAAGGGAGAAAGGAGAAGAAAAGAAAGAAAGGAAAGACATCTGTCTTACTCATCCATACAGTCCAAAGCAGAACCGGACAAGACACATCACCGACTATAAGGGAGCAAAGATGTGAACCCGACTGACAACACATCCGCGCAGCCTCCGCGCTGGACCCATCTGCATTTCGGTTGCGCCGTCTGCAGCCTCTTCTGAATCAGGGGGATTCCGATCCCAACCCTCTCACTTAACCATCACATCATTGCTTGACAAGATGTCTCACCAGCTTTTTCTGATTCCTCCAGATGTGGCAAGCAGGCTATCGAGCACCCGTCTGGCGCAGATATCAATCTAGGACAGGTTGGGCCCGATGTCCGGGCAATTACGACTTGAAAGAGACAGTCACTGTGAATGACAGTCGACTTGTTGCTTTTCTGTTTCCCTGCATCTCTTTTGTCCTTGCAGGATTCTCATCGGAGCCCATTTCCGATTCGCCGTCCAAGCCGGTCAGAGGGTTGGTAATGCTGTAAGTATTCAGCGGTTCATCCGGCCCAATAGTGTCACCTTTTTTCAACTTACACACAGTCCCTGCTATGTGCATGCTATGTCTTCTGTGCAATGACTCACACAATGGCTGTCGGAGAATTTTGCACTTATCTGAGAAAATGCTCTGCAAGCCATGAACTATCGTCTGCACCCGAATAGAACGCCCGGTCATTATCGCTGGCATCGGGACCGAAAGTTGTGCCAAATACAGCTATAATGACCGGGCGTTCTATTCGGGCGATGAAGAATTTCGGGCCAGTGGCCTAGTCAGCAGTCTCATGAAAGACATAAATCACAGCAAGCGCACAACAATCACAGTGTGTTTTTGTGTGTTTTATTTATTAGTAATGTAAAATGTAATTTTCCATCAAGTTGAATTTGCAGATTTGTCGTATATCATCGCTTCTTTGAATTGGCCGACGCTCGAACGAAGGAAGTGCTGGCGAGCCTCTGCAGTCCATTTTTCATTTAATTTCATAATAATGACCCTGGTAGTCCATGCCGTAAACGATGAGTGCTAGTCCACCCTGCATGCATATATCGAAGTAGCCAGCCTCCTTTAACATCTCTCATAATATGAAGTAGCCAGCCTCCTTTAACATCTCTCATAATATGAAGTAGCCAGCCTCCTTCTTGAACATCTCTCATAATATGTTCTACACTGTAGAAAGCGAAATCTACATGAGGCGTATAATATAATGCATTGCTAAAAAAATGCCTGTATTTCATCTTTTAGCCGAGAATTCCGATCCTGAGTCTGTTCTGATATGTTTTTTTTTTATGTGTTTCTAAGTCTATGCGATTCCCGCTACTGTACATATCTCACATGCTTCCCTGAGGGCGTACTCGTACTAGCACTATTGAAAATGTATCTGACCGCATTTAAGGTCGAACCTGTATGCATCTGGCTGCAATTCCGTCCAGAAATAAGTAAAAAAGTGGTAGTGTGAGTATGCCCTGAGTTCAAGTCTGAGTCTGTGTGCCAACTCTGTTGGCGGTGCTGTGTGTGTGCGTGTGTGTGTGTGTGCCTCGGACAAGGACAAAGTAGGAAGGGGTATGGCCAGGGACAGGACTGAAAGTTACCGGGAGGGACATATCGAGGAGGATAGAGTAGCGCACAGGGACATAAATAGAACTTGTTAGAGGCCCGGTAGGGACTTTCCAGCACGTCGGTTGGGCCCGGAAGAGTCCGGGAGATGATGTCGCGTAGGGTAATGATGGTCCAGGGCCTGAATGTAGGCCGTAGAAGTGATCGAGATTCGGTGTTTGTTGATAGATACGAGGCTTGGACCCCACTGCACAGTGGGCATCCAAACGCTTGGCCATGCAATAGGGGGGGAAAGCCATCGCAAAAGAATACCGAGACCCCACTGCAGCCTGAAATTGCTCCTATGCCAACGGGCACTCGTACCCGGAGAGGAAGGTTTGCCCCTGCTTTCCTGAAACGTAAGGACAGGCTACGTGCCTCCGTTGGCATTCTTGTGTTTTTTTATTCCTTTGTTTGCACTCTCCCAATCATGGTGCACCAGAGCTGCAGCTATCCTCCCTCCCTCATAGCATCCTCCCTCCCTTGGCAGAAGAAGAGGTGAACCAGACCTACCCTCTCGAATGGGCACAGAAATTAGGAAAAGTGAGGGCTGTAGCCAATGGGAGCGAAGGCAGACGATGTGAAAACAAAACATTTCCTTCGTCCAAGCCAAGCATTGCGTCATGTGGGATCCAAAATTCTGCTTGGTTCAAGATTCCGGCGCCTGGCGAGGCCCATCTTTTTTCCTGGGCAGACTGCCAGAGCTCTTCCGCCAAGCAATGGGGTCCCAGTCTGTAATGATGTTCCCGCCAAAAGCAGGAACACCTGATAGGCCTACCGTTTTCCCCCGAACATAACGCATATGTGTTGTATTTGAGTTTTTGACCAATTCCAAAGTTCGAATAGAGCGCATAGGCGTTGTATTCCAAAACAAGGCCTGTTCGAATGGAGCACGTGCGTTGTATTCAAATAGAAAGCAACCTAGGGGTTGTATTCGTTTACAACGCATGCGCGTTATGTTCGGGGGACGACGGTAGTGCACCCAAGAAAACGCTGTCTCTGAGTGGCCAGGTAGAGGCAGGTATTGCCAGGCCAAGACTTACTGGTGGGTCGGGAAGCCAAAGTATATATCATTCGGTGCAATGAGTAGAGAGCAGAGCGGATCTCTTTTCATTGCTCCAAGCAGTCATGCTGCTGCTCCGCAGAGAGGGAGAGGTTGGCGGAGCTCCTCCTAGAGGTGAAGGTGGAGCCTGAGGGTGAGGGAGAAGACCTCTATGGAGGTGTAGTGGGAGAGGTAGGAGAAGCGCTAGGCTATGGAGGTTGAGGGAGAAGACCTTCCAGTCGCGCGATGGTGATGGAAAGAGGTTGAAGGAGGGAGAAGGAGGTGGAAAGAGGTTGAAGGAGGGAGAAGGAGGTGGAAAGAGGTTGAAGGAGGGAGAAGGAGGTGGAAAGAGGTTGAAGGAGGGAGGAGGTGGAAAGAGGTTGAAGGAGGGAGAAGGAGGTGGAAAGAGGTTGAAGGAGGGAGAAGGAGGTGGGACCATCAAGGAGACTTAATTTTGACTATCATGGTGGGACTTACATCTTCATCTTCCTGGTGGGTGCTGCATCAAGAAGGTCCCTGTTGGGGTACCTGTCTTACATCAACTTCATCCAGAGGACAAACATGTCGGTAGATAACAGGAGAGGGCAGGCTAGTAGTTGTGTTGTCCTTCGAACATCCAAGGTTACCGTAGCTCCGGATGAATCGCCATAGCTGGTAGCCATGCCAAGTAGAGGGGAGAGGTGGAGTGAGGTAAAGGAGAGTTCTTTCAGGCCTGGCAGTAAGGGGGATCACTCGGACATTGATTCTTCTTCGTTCCTTCATTGTTATTGTTATTTATCATTATTGAAGTGGAGGAGGTGATGATGATGGAGAGATGATGATGATAGAGAGATGATGGTGGCAAAATATGGATGGAGGTGACATTGGTTCCAACTTTTCGTCTTCTTCTTCTTCTTCTTCTTCTTCTTCTTCTTCTTCTTCTTCTTCGTCGTCGTCGTCGTCGTCGTTGTCGTCGTCGTCGTCGTTCGTCGTCGTTCGTCGTCGTTTGTCGTCGTCGTCCTCTTCGTCTTCGTTTTCTTCTTCGCTTCTTCGAATTTCCTTTTTAAGCACTGATTCGGGAAAAGAATTCAACCCAGGTCTGTACTACAAGACCCCCGTATTGGCTATGCATCCTCCTTGTATTTATGCAGGATGCGTTGCCAGTACTACTGGTTTTTGTTTATGTGTATCCGGAACTCAACAAAAAAAAACACAGTGCACGTGAAATCAATGAAAGTGGGAATCTGAAAGATCACTGTGGAAAAAGAAAGGCAGTGATCTTACGTTCTGTGCTTCGCACCATAACGCGACCTACTTCTGCTTGAGATGTGGTGGATTACAGTCTCTCACATTAAATTTTGCATTTTGCAACATGAAATGAGCAGGATCATAGCATCTGCGCTAAGTGCATGGTGCTGTGCTGTATCTGTCCCATGTCGGTGCCATGCCTGTGATATACCCATTGTGCAGGCATGCTTTTGCTATGTCTTTGCGATGCCCATGCTGCACCTCTGATTCTTTTCTCTTTCCTTTTTTTTTAGAGACAAACAGATTTTTGAAAAGGCATGGCCTAGGTACTTCACTACGATCCCTGAATACGCCGGACAGACGACGGACAGAAACACAGTGCTGGGTCTATCGCCTGCTGTATGACACAGATTTTTGAAAAGGCATGGCCTAGGTACTTCACTACGATTCCTGAATACGCCGGACAGACGACGGACAGAAACACAGTGCCAGGTCTATCGCCTGCTGTATAACGTTATGATTGTGTGCTTAAACTTTATTTTGTAACGCAGCTACGTGCGCTCAGGTCTATTCTATTCTAACTCCAATCTGTGTGGTGTGCTTCGGTATGCTGCATGTATGTGCTTGTACAGCTGTGTTCTGGCACCTTGACTGATGTTTATAACAACGCCTGGGCCCAGCGTCCTCACAATTGTACCCGGAAAACACTGGGGCCATTTCCCAGCTTTCCTCAGAACCAAATGCTGGAAACAGGGTCTATATCAGTCACAGAGAAAACACTGGGCCCACTCTTTGGCCCACATTTGTGCTTGGTGCTTGGTGTTTGCCATGCAGACCTCAATCTCCGCCCCATCTCAACTAGGATGGGCCTTCAGCTATGAAGCCACAGATACTATCATCAGCGGGTGCTGAGTCTGCTGACCCTAAAAGCCAGCTGCCCTTTTTTTGGTTTTTTGAAAACTTCAATGGACAACTTCATGCCCCTTTCACGCGGCCAGTAACCCGATCAGCATTCCAATCTTATCCGCTTCAGACCCCCAATCTTATCCGCTTCAGACCCCCAAAAATCTTATCCGCTCCAGGCCCCCATCGACCGTTGTCAATTGTCAACATCTTTCCCACTGCCCAGTACAGTACTCCCTGCTCCTATCATATCGATGCTGTTCTGCAGGTAGAAGCAACAGGCATTATGTCCTCCCCAACATCCACTGCCGTGTTCCTGCTCCACCAGAGTACGATCGGAATCCCCCCATCTTGTATGAATGAGAATATCTTCCCCTGACCCTTATGACCTGCCCCTGCCCCTTATCCTACAACCGAAATTGCATGAAAGGCAACACTCGTCGACAAAGACAGCGAACAACACCTCCCCCTGCCCCTTATACCTGCCCAACGAGTCCCTCCCTCTCCCAATCGCATGGGCTTCATTCGCGGACATAACCACCACTATGCAATATTTCTCCCCTCTTTTTTTTTTTTTTTTTCCCTCAATCTGCCATTGTACCGTCATTGCACTTTGCGTCCGCATAATTGGCACAACCATCCCATCAGCCCATCTGTCATCGTACCTTCCATCCACAATCGTATCATCACAGAGCTCCCTCTCATCATGCTCGCAACCAAT